AATAGACATAAAATATAACCATATCTTTTTAACTTGATGAAAAAAAAATAAAGTTACAAATGATAAGGTTTAACTGAAAATTTTATTAGACCGTCATAAAAATAACATTTTATTTTAAACTAAAATAAAACTTATTCTCTTGAAAACATAAATATTATTACGTTACAATGTCATATATGAAACGGCCTGTCACGTGAGGATGGTCTGAGTAATGTACAGACATTTAAAATAGAAGGTGACCCGACCCTCCTATTTTCATATCGTATTATAAATTACAAGCTGTCGCCTGTGACTCCGTCCGCGCGGAATAAAAAAAAGTAGCCTATATGGTTTACCACACAATGTTTTATATCTGTGCCAAATTTCATCGACATCCATACAGTCGTACTGGAGATACCTTCTCACAAATATCCCCATTTATAATATTAGTAAGGTAACAACTGAAGATAAAAACTTGAATGCAAAGTCTTAAATTTTTATCGGAGATTAATTTTTCAGAGTCTCTGAATGAGCCCTAATTTTGTTCGTATGTCATGTGAGGATTCTTTAAGATGTTAAATTTATGACATCATATTTAACAAGTATAATATTAATAAGACTTATGAATGGAACAACTAATTATACACACGTACATACTTTGATATCAAATTATAAACAAAGAGCCGCGATACATCAAAGGAACCGGCGCCGCTGTTAATTCAACGAAATCTAATTAATGCTAATTGCGCTACAACTTACTGAGTTCAATTTAAATATTAACTGCTACCTATATTTAAATCTTTAATTGATGTCGAACGAGATTTTTTAAAATATGAACATTAAAGGCTGAAAGCAAAAAGCTCAAAGCTAAAACGTGGCGAAATTCAGCACCAGGTCCAGTGTTAACCGCGGCTGTAGTGCTTATGATGATGATGATGATGATGATGACAATAATGATAATTTATTATAGAGTAAAACGACTATACTAATCCACAACTTGATGCTTATTAATGTAAAATGTAAAAGCAAATATCAATAGTTAATATGGATTGAAATTCATTTTCAAAGTTTATTGCTAGAAAAGAGTTCTGTAGAATAACCGTATGTTATGTACAAAAATATATTATCTACCTATTGCCAGTATATTAGGAACCTTGCCTAAAGGGACTCCTTTTATTATATATTTTAGGTAATTATTCGTTTTTAATATTTTATTTAATATCATAAATTTAAGACTCTTCGTGTAAAATATATAAATTTAGTATGATAAAACTAAGATAATAATATGTTTATAAACAGGTATTGCCACAGCGGGTATACAAAAAAGAAAAGTTGAACGTACAGGCTCAGATTGAAGTTTTCTTAACAATTTATTGTCGACAAGTTAGTCTGTCTATCTTCTTTATACGTCACATCATACTTGTCTATAATTTACTTCAATAAATGTATTCTTACTGTCACTTATAGCTAAAGTTTTAAGTGCTTACTTAAGTTTAAGTTAAAGTTTGATGGACCGTATAAGTGTTATCGGAGTTTAAGATTTATTTGACTCTTGATAGTCCCATTTCATGAGTTAAGGGTCGTTAAATGTTGTCCGATCATTTTGATGGATCTGTAGTGAAAAAGGTTTGACGAAGATTCTATTGTAAAGTAATTTAAAAGTATATTAAAAGTTTTTTAAACCTAAACTACGATTCATTAAATGTGATATTTTTTTACATTGTTTTTGTTATAATAGATTATGTATCCTTTCTGTAATTAAAATCATTATATTACCTGTTACCCTTAAATTTATTTTCTGCTCGAAGACATTTAGAAAATGGTTTTCTTGTCCCTACTCGAACCTTGTTACCGACCAAATCATTGTGTTGAAAGAGGTCAAGTACAATGAGTCTATTTGTGCGATTACCTAGATTGCTCAAGTTCTAAAAGCATTTTTATGTTTATACTTCAAAAGTATCACCTAAGTTCTTACGAGTAGAATTTCTTAAGATAAAAAATATATTAATGAAAAAATGGCAAAACTCTTGATAGCATTTGTACAATGTAGAGACATTTTTTATTCATTGAACTTCGTGAAGCTTGAAATATATCAAAGAAAAAGAAGTAATACATCTTCAGTTCTAAACATACATAAGTCCCCAGCGGTGAATATAAATCTTACTAATATTATAAGTGTCAAAGGTTAGATTAACTGCTGAACAGATTTTGATGCAATTTGACGCAGATGTAGAACATAGTCTGGAAGAACACAGAGGCTTAATTTTTTCTAATTCGACGCGAATGGAGTCGTAGGGGACTGCTTGTATTGAAATAAAGCAATAAAACGAGTTTGATACACTTACGTCGTGTAGATGCGAAGTGAGGTTAAATTAATTTATAGTCCTGTCTTCCGCTTGCCGCAGACATCGATATTCATTGCGTGTTATTTCAACTCCCCCTTCGCCACGAGACATTAATTTGATATGACCGAAGTCGGCACTCGTCCACGAAAACAAGCCATTTATATTGTCACTATTACTGTCTTTGGAAGTGCTACGACTTCGCATTGTTTTAATGAGCAACGATGGATCAGGGGTTAATCACTTGACTTGCAAACTCCAAATCCTGGGTTAGTATCCCGCCAAGTACTTATGTGTTTTTTGATTTACATATTTATCCGACGATTTTACAGTGAAGAAAAACATCGTGATGCAACCTGCACATATCTGAGAAGAGATTTAAAGGTATGTAGGGTGGTTTGACAATGGCCTAATCACCCCCAACTTTGGATAGGATCCGAGCATCTCAGTGGGGATGTATAGTGAGCTGATTATGATGAGTATGTAATGTAGTATTCGAGGGGTTTTGTTTGGTGATTTTCGGTGTGCAGAAATCAAACAGATTCAGTTCGTACGGGCCCCTTAAAAATTACACGTAAATTGTCTTAATATAACATGTGTTTTGTGAAATCAGTATTGCAAATATTATAAAGTTGAAAAAGAAATTACTTGAATAAAAACTGTAATATTGAGTTGCAATAAATAAAGTTAATCAAGTAATGAAGTAAGTTTTAAAATTTTTCAACTTTTTCTGATTTTATGCTATAAACTACTTGAAGCAACAGCGAAGCTAAGTTAAAGACTTTCTTAACAAACTTAATATAGAAAAAAAACTTCGAGAATTTGTTCTTGACATAAAGTTTTTTTTATAGAAAATAACTGTTAAACTATTATACAAAACCTTAATTGTTAATACATTTTAGAAAATTGTCAATATTATAGAGTAAGTTTAATGAAATCAATTTGAATATCCTATCATTTATATATAATACTTCGTATTTAAATTACAGAGGAAAATGCTTTATAATTAGTAGAATTTTAGATTCAAATTATGCTGGAGTATTTAGGAAATTGATTTGTATATTTATGAAGAGTAATACGTACTTTAATAAACCATCATCATCATCGTACTACTTCGAACGTCCCCACCGAAGGGCCTCGGAGCCTACCCTAAGTTAGGGGTGATTAGGACATAGTCGACCACGCTGGCTCACTGCGGGTTGGCTGACTTCACAAATATCTTTGAATTCCTTCTCAGATATGTGTAGGTTGCATCACGATGTTTTCTTTCACCGTAAGAACGTCGGATAAATGTACATATGTAAATCGGAAATCGAAAAACACATTGGTACATAGCGGGAGTCGAACCCAGGACCTTCAGATTGCAAGTTAAATGCATAACCACTGAGCCACCGACGCTCTGTCGTTACTAAATATTATATTAAAAAAAATATAATTCCGAGCAGACGAAGTCTCAGGCAACTGCTAGTTATATAAGCTATCATTATATGTTGATAGAAACATGCCATATCTAGTAAACAACTATAACTTTCCACGTAATTGTAACGTTAACGTGGGTTTCTTAAACCAAAATCTGTTTAAAAATATTGTTATCTCTATTTTGTCAAAGATTATAACAAGGATGATGTTTTACAGAGAGATTTAAGTCTCCGAAACAGAAGTTCTTATAAAATGTTCAACTTGATTGAGAATTAAACTAAGAGGATCTTATTATAGTTTAAGCTTTAATTAAAATATGTTTTCAAAAGCGAAATGTTAAACAATTCAAATCGTATTAAAAAGCTAATAAGTTTCTTCTTAACTTGAGTAATGAATTAATGAATAAGTTAATTTCTAAATTACCAGCTTTTTGACCTTTTACGTATAATGAGAACGTTTGAAATTAAACCTGAAGAGTCTTTTCTAAAAGGATTTCGCTAGATGAATGACTACGTATTACTTATAATATTTAAATTGTGTAATTTCTATTAATTTGATTTTTGTATGTTTTATTTTTAATATAACTTCATATATAAAATTGTCTATAAACAGCGTATCATTTTAAATTGCGCACTAAAACGTATATAGGTTTGTATGAGTGATCGAAACCGCACGCAGTTTGTTACTTGAAATGTACAGTCATGATCGTATTTGATATATTTTTTTTTAAATTATTTTATTTAAGTGCATGCTTTATTTTTAATTAGTTTATATTAGTTTTGCACTGTCATATATGTTAACTAATGAATAAGTATACTTTGAACACAATAAAACTCAAAAGTCTTCGACTATAATACAAGCAAACAAGCAAACTTATAAAGTTTGAACGTTAATAAAAACTTATAAAGTAAAAAAGTCTTCAATAATTTCCCCAGAATTGTAATATAAATAACACAGCAGACTATAATTCCACTAATTTTCATCAAGACCATTTTATTATTTTTAAATTATTTTATGTCTACTTTGTACGTGACTGTATCAATCTGCATTCGAAGGTCCATTAAGAAGCCATGTCGTTCAATTGTAGAGACAGCGGGGCGACAGACACTCCATCTTGTCTTGCCTCTGCCTTTAGTGACGTAGTTTTGTTCAATTTAAAGCTAAGTGTAAGGAAGACGAATAAAATGCCATAAAATATTGTGTAAATGTGGTTGCAATTTTTTTGGTGCATTTATAAAAATTGTGTTTGGTTTTAAGATATTTCAAAATGGATTTTAAATTACATTTTATGTAAGTGATAATATTTTTTTATACTTAATACTAAAGTATTAAAAGAGAGTTATTTTTAGCGAAGAAGGTTTAAGAGACATCCTTTTTTTAGGTAATACTAGCTGTCGCCTGCGACTCCGTCCGCGTGGATATATAAAAAAACTTAATATATAGATAAGTTAAATAAAAAGCACCTATTCAAAATATAAATTCGAAAAAAAAATGAATAAATCCTATGTTTCTATCCTAAAATGCTATGTCTGTCTCCTGGCTCTAAATTACCTCCTCACCAATTTTCCGGCATATCAGTAAAGCCGTTCTTGAGTTATAAATAGTGTAACTAACACGACTTTCTTTTATTTTAGGTAATATTAAGTAAATAACTCAACCTTAGTGATATGAAGTGACAAGAAATATTATGTGTCCAATTTAAAAAAAAAAAGAAAACGACAAAAATATAAATTAAATAAAAGACGGCACATATACATACTTGTTTGCGGAAAACGTTACTCTACTTAGTCAGTCTGATAAAAACAAACGAGTATCGTATATCTGAGCAATCATCAATTACTAATAAGTAATAAGAGAATAGAAAAGGTCGTCCACTAATTAATTAGTTACATTTGGGAATGATTTTCTGTGGCTGAAGGCGCACCTACAAATACTATTAGACCAATCACTGCCCCAAATATCACATATCAAAAGCTTTGTGTGCGAAATAAAGTAAAAGAATTGTGTAGATATAAAGTCAATGATTATTGGAAATCTATGTTGTTTTTTCAGCTTTTATACAATAAAACAGTGTAGATAAAATGTTTGGTTTAACCTTTTGTTCATTTCTTTTAGTGTAATTAAAAAAATAAATGAAAGAAAGTATGAAATAGGATCTAATTTTGTACAATTTGCTGTATGTTTTGTTTGCTTAGTACATCAAATTGGTGATATAACATGATAGATGTATGATATTCTAACACTCCACATATCAATCTGAGTAACGTATTATAAATTATTTATTATTTAACTTTTTCCTAGAAAGTTCACAGTTAAGAATGCCAAAGATCAAATGTGAAAATAATATATAATTTATATGAAGTAAGAAGAAGTAAAATAAAACATGAATAAATCTTATAACGTCAGTAAGTCGAACGAATAATTAAATTTGATCAAAATTTAAAAGCACTCTATTGATTTGCAGAATATAGAAAAGTAGAATTTAAGCCGGAGTGGCCCGATACTGGAGGGAACATTTCCTCGTTGTTTCCGAAACCTTAAGACGAAATCCAATTAGAGTTAACCGCACAAACACAATTCAATCTTTAGTTATAATTAAAATGAAATGGATAATAGATAAATTACATTACATTTATTAGGGTTTTAAAACTCCTACCACAGGATTCTTGTTTATTATAACGTAATATTTGTTTCTGTTTATGTAAAGGTTCAACTGTTTATTTGATAATTAGTATTTTAGTTTACACATTAAACTAATAATTAAAGAAATTAATACTATTGATATTCACTAATTCATGTATTAAAAAAATATACAAAATATATTATATTAAAAATAGAACACCACCGGCTGCGGAGTCCCATGACTCAAACAACCAGTGGTCAGGGCTGCAGAGACAGGAATCTTTTCACGATGCGTGCGGTTTCTAGGATAACTGCCTTTTGTATCGGGCCCTTAATCCAACTGTTTAGCGAGAGCTTCTTGAGATATTGGTCGAAACTCTTCGCTATCAGTCCATTACTATTGATTATTATTAAGTCCCATTCATGAGAAATAATTTTGGTTATTTTCCACAGCAAGTCAAGTCTAAATCTTGTAGAGTAATGTTGATATATCTTGTTACAGAGTTCGCAGTAATGAGCTTGGCGGGAGAAATCGAAAATCCCTTCCAGTTCCTACACAGGCCAAACAAATAATAAAAAACTATGGACGCAAACTTCAGTCTTAACATACAAGAATTAAAGATGGATATCCCAAAGCTGAGCTTTTGTCAAAACAAATGCCAAAATGTATCGAGGATAACGACCATCGTATTCAAACCACCAGATCCGGACTCGGTGAATCGAACGTTAATCGGAAGAAGTGAAAACGAAACGAACTTACGATCGATATTCGATAACGAGATTAATTCTAGTGATTATTATAATATTGAAAGAACGTTGAACGTATCGTTTTCTAATTTTAGTACCGATAATGTGACTTGCAGTGATGTACAAGGATATAATTTGTGGGCGTTATCATTGTTGGTGTTCCCAGTGTTGACTCTTTTTGGTAATGTGTTGGTAATACTGAGTGTAGCGCGGGAAAGAAGCTTGAAGACCGCCACTAACTACTTCATAGTGAGTTTGGCTGTTGCCGACCTTTTAGTAGCAGTCGTTGTCATGCCATTCGGCGTTTATTATTTGGTGAGTTTACTTTAAGTCTTGTGTTTTGCGTTAAATTCACATCATATTTCCAAGGTTCAAATATGTCGTTTATTTTAAAGTTCGTTAACAATAATAATCTAAATTAGTACACGTTATTAAATTAAAAAAATACCCTCTTAAAAAGGAAAGGAGTAAAAAAGCTGCTACGACGTACGACGTTAAAATTTTTAATGAAAGTTTTATAAAATGCATTTTAAGTTAAAATTGTTTTATATGTATATCAGTTATAATTTTTATCGTTCAATGAAATTAGGAATGACGATACATAAAATATTAAATATAAACAATTAGCCTAACACCAGCAATAAATTTTCACGGTGTTTTATTCTTGACATTTTTCTATTGTATAAAATTTGATTAGTTCAACGGGTCGTGGGGCCTGCCCGCCTTCGTGTGTGACAGCTACATCGCGATGGATGTAACCTGCTCCACGTCCAGCATCTTCAATTTGGTCGCCATATCTGTAGACAGGTAATGAAAAGGAATTATCTTCATAAACTGGTAATATATGGTAATATAAATACTCCGCTGGCGTAGAGACCCAACGTATGTCTTAACCTCCGATAAAAGGGATCGCCAACGCCGCCTTTCCTGCGCCATCACCCGCTAGTCGAGTGCTCGGATATTATTGAAACAAAAGACGATCATTATGGTGATTATTTTTAGATACATCGCTGTAACCCAGCCGATTAAGTACGCGAAACACAAGAGCAGCGCCCGCGTGTGGCTGATGATAGCGGTCGCGTGGCTGGTGTCCGGTGCAATCGGCGCGCCCGTTGTGCTCGGCCTCAACGACGCCCCCGACCGCAGCCCCAACGCCTGCCTCTTCAACAACACCGATTACGTCATCTACTCCTCCCTCGGCTCATTCTACATACCGTGTATTATCATGATGTTCCTCTATTACAACATTTTTAAGGTTAGCTATTCAATTTATAATAGGCCCTATAGAGTCTACTTAACTGCCTGGCAATAAGCAAATTAAATATATTTGGTCACTTTTGTGGATAACACAGCCTCGGGCTTATTTGGAATGGTTAAAAGAAATATAAGTAAATAATAAAAAATCCACTCGTTATTGCTTTTGTTAGAACAATATAATCTGTTCAGTGAACGAGGCAAACAACAATATGCTAAGCCATAATATAGCAATTCTGAAATTTTATTATTGTTCAAGAATCCAATGTATAATAATTTTCAGGCAATACGAAAAAGAGCCAAGAAGCAACGTATAGGTAAGAAGACGTCATCAGCAGTGGGCTCTACGGTTTCCAGTGGGACAGCTGCAGTGGTCGTTCAGAACGTGAAAGGTCTACCACGGCGCATTGACAGCGGAGTGCAGGATGACAAGCCGACTAACACTGGCTCAGGCAGCAATGAAGATGAGGAAGATGAAAAGTAAGATCTCATTAATATTTTACTTTCAATTAGTAAGTACACAATGTTCCAGAAATTGTAATAAGAATTGGATAAACTATATTAGAATGATTCTATTTAATAATTAGCTTAGGTCCTTTTCTTCCAGTTTCGATCGAACTGAGATGGGAGTGTTTGCGGATGAGCTTGCTAATTCAAGATCGACAAGATTCATGCTCGCTGCTGTTGTGGAAGAGACCGGTTTGTAAGTAAGAAATTAATTATACTTAGCTAAAAAAAAGATGATGATTATAAAATAGAATAACAACGTACCATAAGTAGTTTAACAAAGTACTATAAAAATAACGTATCAAAAAATGTCATTAAGATGTTTTGATGTAAAAATTGATTTTAGGATTATGGCAAATTTAGCATCACCGATTCCAATGATGGATCCAAACACGAACAATGATTCCGGCTACGTCACATCAAACATAGATGGAGAGAAAGAGCACACTCCACCTCCATCGCCCAGCAGTAGAGCACAAATACATAAAGAAGGAAACAGCTCAGGACCTAAGAAACCAGATTTGAAGTAAGTATGATTTGAACAAGTCGAAATAATTGTAATAGAACTAAGAAATACAATTGAATGAAGAGTATTAAATTGTTTGCTTACCCTACATACAGAAAGAAGTTGAGTCGTCTTAGCAATAGTTCGATGATCAGCACTCCTAGAAGAAGGTTCAAGAGCGCGGCGTCTGCAGCGCGGTTTACAATCTTCCGAGCTAACAGGGCTGGCAAATTACGAGCCAAGTCTTTTGCCAAGAAAGAAAAGAAGGCTACACAAACTCTTGCAATTGTTTTAGGTAAATTTTATACATTACATGATCCGTTACAAAAATCAAATAGCAACAGGAATGAAAAAAATGTATACTTTTTCCCCAGCTATCGTTCGTGTGTCATTTAACAATCAAATTCTCTTATTTTCTGTGCTGTTATTATATATTTTTATTTTATCTTGTTCACAGGTGTCTTCCTATTCTGCTGGGCACCGTTCTTCACCTGTTCAGTTCTCGACGCAGTCTGCACCAAGTTTGGTCTCTCCTATTCTCCAGGGGTGACCGTCTTCATCTTCACCACGTGGCTAGGTTACATCAATTCATTCCTCAATCCTGTCATCTATACTATTTTCAATCCTGAATTCCGGAAGGCGTTCCGAAAAATTCTACACTTCGGTACATAGCAAACAGACTTCTATCTTGTGTATACGTAAATAAATAAATACGTGAGTTTCGTTTTGCAAAGAAATTCACCGTTAAAAGAAAACGTAATGTTTGTCTGTAAACTTTTAATACAAGTGGAGATAATTGTTTTTGAGGCGACGAGACAAGATTCAATGAATCATTTTCATTAAAGGATTACTTGTAGTGAAATCTCATTTAAAATATTTAAATATGTAAATAACGAGGCTGTAGATACGCTTTTTTTAAGATACAAAATGTATTTATGATCCCCTGTGCCTCTGTGATTACCTTAAAATTGTGAATCGAAGATAGAACGAATTAAGCTTGATCTTTAGTCTAATAAAGGTGTTATACAAATATTTTTGTATGGAGCCACTTCGTTGCATAGATTAAAATCTCTATCCTTCGCAAAATGTGTACATACTTGTATGATAGTTGTTTTTACCAGCGTTTCTCAAAGTGTGCTGCGCGGATATTTTCTTGGAGGTCAACAAAAATAGACACTGATCCTAATTACAAAAATACAAAAGAGGTACTATAAAGTTTCAGAGGAAAAATCTGGCAATAGATTAATATTACGTATCTACAAAATCAAATCTTGTATCTAAGATTATGTAAAATCCATCGTTTCTCAAAAGAATTCCGTATTTAAAATAGTTTGAGAACCGCTGGTATTAACTTAGTATTGTGGTTACTTCCTCCGGTTGTGATATGTATAGAGTGATTAGTTTTTAATTTTCTATCTAATTGAAGCTTTAAATTTGTTTTTTTTTATTATATTGTACTTTTAAGAAACCTTAGTTGTTATCTTTGAACTTTGTTATCGTGTCTTCAAGCCTTGGGACCTACAAAAATAATACGCTTTCTTATTTAAAAGTTTAACTTGTAAATATTTAAGGAAGGCTCTTAACTTAGCTGTTACTTTAATATTTGTATATTTTGAAGTAAATACATTGTTTATAGCAACATTAAGCCAAAGAATCTGTATATTTATGAATGTTTTAAATATTTATTTATGTACGTGTTAGCGAAAGTTGTGAGATTTATGTCTATTAATAAATTAAATATGTTTAGAATTGAACAATAAATTTTTATTTTTTTATATCATACGATGGAAAACGAGTGAGGGGCCACCCAAAATCGCTAAAATTGCGAAGCGGCCGTTAGCGCTGCCGTACCGCTGTGTACCTTTATCGACGGAGAAGTGGATGCACAGAAAGAGAATATTTTCCCTATCCATGCTTCCCCTTCTCTTTTCTCATAAGAAGAAGGGAAAGAAAAAATTGGACCAACGTGACGCACAATCATCCGACGAAACGCAGAATTGCTTCCACTTCACGCCTGTCTTGTGTGTGGTCGTACTGCAACGAGCGAACAGGTAAGTTCGTGCGAAGATGTTAAAACACCTCGATTTTTTTTTAATTAGAAGTATCAAAACTACTTCAATGAGTACAGTATTATATTATGGATTACTTATTTCGTCTTGGTTTACTGAGAATAAAGCCCGAACGTAACTTAAGCTCTACTTAATCGATACTTAGTTTAAGTTCGCCTGCAAGTTTCACATTTCAGTCTGGAACTGTGAAATGAGCAGTTTAATCTATAACTTTACATTGTTGCTGAAAGCTGAAACCTTGTAGCAAGTTCTATGATCAATATTGTTTCTTATACAAAATACATAAGCAATTGCTTGATACATTTATTTGCGGTTGTGTGTTTATAATAAATTTTATTGATTTATGGTTTCTATCTATTAGGTATACTTGAAATACTGCTTCTTCTTAAAAATGTACGGTTCGTGTCGTATATTTGTTTTTTTAATGACTTAATAATACTAATAGCTACAAAATAAAAAGCTATTTAATTATCTTTTTCATTTTATGTAGACAAAGCAGTGGGTATGATTTGGTTATGATAACATAACCTAAAAAAGAAGAAATTATGTCAAATAAAACTAATTTATAAAATAGAATAATATTCATCAAAGCTTATTCAATATACTATATTATTAACATTGGTCTTATTAAGAAATAATGTTTTCTTTAGTCCGAGTATATTTTTTCCCCGTACTCCATCTCATAACAAAGCGGGATGACAAAGGACTATTGACTTTATTATAAGGTAAAAGATCTTGAAAACTTAGGAACGTGTATTTTATTATCCACTTTTATATTTTTCTTATAATACGATACAACAGTTTATTCTTTTTCGATTTAATTATAAACAATCATGCGTTTTCATTGCCGAAACAACAATATAAAAATATACTGAGCTCTCTTTGTTTTTTGATCGGCAGTGAATACCCACCAATAGACTTTAGACTTAACTACCATCTTATCCTGTTGCGCTTAAGTAAATAAAATCTATTATATAACAATTTGAACTTCCAGCCGTGCATTACTGCATTGTGGAATGGTCTGTCCACGGTATTTCCGAACCGCTACGACTTAGGGTCTTCAAGAAGCGAACGTATCACCATTTCAAAGGCCGGCAACGCATCTGCGGTTCCTTTGGTATTGCAGATGTTTTTTTTTTCATTTATGCCACTTTATCTTATGAAGAAATATAAACATAAGTGATTAATTGCTAATTTTAATTGCGAATAAGAGATTTTTTACTAACTACTTTAATTGTAACTTTATTATGGCTTGATTGATGAAATTTAAAATTATTTATTTTTCATATCTCATCACATCAAGTGAATGTTCATGATGATGCATTTTTCTTTCACAATTCTGCATGAATTTAATATTTCTGCAAGATGTAAGTCCTCAGTTCTCTGTAAAATTGACCTGTCGCTTAGAATTTTCATCCATTTTATTGATTGTAGCTTTCAATCATTTTTCTTTTGAAGACAATGGTTTTAAAATTTGCTTTCAATATTCTTTATCTTAGCAAATTAGTGTTCTTAACGTACATTTAAAATAAAGGATTTATTGTATTTTGGTACTTCTAGAGTATTTTAACCCTTAATTCGATGGTGTTCAGTGTGACGAACAACTAATAAAAAAAAACTACTGAACTAGTTTAGAGAAAATTACGTAAGTATGACTTTACTAAAAAAAAAAACATTTTTTTTGCTACAAAAAATTTCGTCGAATTAAGGGTTAAAGTGAACATTTAATTTTGTGTTCCTGAATATCAAAGTAATTATTTATTTCGTGAAAAGAGGATGAAAATGACGTATTAATAAATCAAATTTTAATAAAACATTGTAAATAAAACAAAGATCTATGTAGTTTGCTATATGTAATTTGTATGTGTAAAATTCTTTGTTATAAACCATACTTATAATAATACTAGTTGTCTGGATTTAAAAAAAAAACTTAGTTCCAGACTATGTTCTACATCTATACCAAATTTTATCGTGATTCGTTTAGTCATTCTGGAGATACAAACATCCATCCATATAAACTTTTGCATTTATAATATTAATATAAGTAAGCAAGCTTTATATTACTAAAAACCAGCGGTCGCCCGCGACTCCGTCCGCGCGGAATTTAAGAAAAATATAATTAGTAGCCTATGTGTTTTTCCAGACTATGCTTTATATGTATGACAAATTTCGCCGAGATCCGTCTAGCCGTTCTAGAGATACCTTCAAACAAACATCTAAACATTCGCATTTATAATATTATTAAGATAAGTAAGCTACCTCTATATTATTAGTTTTAAAATTGTCATATAGTTTGCCGCTAACTGTAACTTTTTGTTAACTTTTTTCTACGGAAATTCAACATAAAATGTTAAAGTTAACGCTTCAAATTCTCTCAACATCGTCATTAATGTCGTTAAATGGCAAGGACGTAATTAGTAATTACTGCACACGAGGCAATTTTGTACCCTCAGATGACAACCCTCCTATTTCCCTAATATGTAATATGGGTTGAATTCAACATAGCTACTAGTTTTACTATTATATATACATTTATAAGTTTAGATATTCTCCAGAGAAATATCTTTCAATCGCCATCGCGTGCTTGGCTATTATAATCCATTTTGACATAATAATTTAGCCATTATAGCAGTAGTCGAATGAAAATAAAGTTTGGGATCGTGGATTAGTTGGGATATAAAAATTCTATAATAAACATTGAAGGGGCTTCTAATGACAAGATTGATTATATTTTATAAGAAAATGACATTACGACCAAAGCCTAGACCTAGACCCTGACGAACAAATACATAGAAATAAAGAACTTAATAAGAATGAACGAATGTCCATAGATGTCATCCCGTAGGTCAAGTGCCTCTTTATATTTACCTGGCGTAGGGGCTACCGTGATCACGAAGGCGGTTCCCCCAGGGCAAGGCCCCACCATTGCACTGCGGTTGGGTTTGACCCCTGCGATTATCCCTAATGCGGATAACTTGAACGCGTATTTTTTTATAGTGGCCTTAAAAAAGAGCCGCGGAGGAGAGCGAAAGCGTGCCCGTGGCCCAGTCCCGATGCATTGGAGGAACAGAGAGGTCTAGTGGGTATGCCTCCGTTATGGAGGAGAATCCCCCATAACTACCGCGTCCCCCCTGGGGTAAAGTTATGCATAAAGCATTCCTCTCTGAAAAAAAAAAACATGTCAAGTGCCTCTTTGGATCGTTTTGTTACCGGAGTAAGTATTCTTTGATGATGTTTAGTATATATTTATCAATATACGAGCCTTACTTGACACCGTGCCTGCAAAATAAGATTATTGAGGCGACACACTATCTAATTGCTGTAGTAATTACGACGTTAACAACGCGCCGGCAATCTCTGACAAAGCGTATCGCTTAATTGCGCTGAATATCTCGCACGATACGACACAATGCGACGCGATACGCGATACGACATGATACGACAAATTGCGAAAGCTTTCAGATGAATCTACGTTTGACATGAGTAGGTCACATTCACATCGATCGATACTTATAATGTATTTTAAACTACACTCTTTAGATAATAAAACAAAAAACAATAGGTATAAATAGAGGAGAAAAGCATGCAGCTATGGAGGAGTTGGGAATAATATTTAAAAAAAACTTTGCCCATTAAAAATATAGGCATAAAAATTAACGAAGAAGATTTTTGACTAAAAAACAACTTATAATAATATAGTAAAAGATATTAATCAATTTTATTCAAAAAAAAAGAATCAACAGAGAAAATTCTCGATGTCACAAATCAAATAAATAGGGTAACAATGACCGTCGATGGAGATTACATCTAACGTGGCCTCGGAC